GCGGGGGGCGCGGGGCTGCGCACCGTGGGCAGGAAGGGCGGCTCGGCGCTCAACTCGCGGCTGCGCTCCAGGCCCGAGACTTTGGGCGGCGCCCCGGCCTTGGCCTCGGCCTCCTCGCCCAGCGTGGGGCCTGCGGAGAGAGGGCCGGAGTGAGCTGGGCCTGACTCAGGGACAGTGGCAGCGAGGTCATAGCCAGGGCTGAGCCCCCACCCCCCAGTCCACAGGGGCCAGGGCTGGGGCCCCTACTGGGGCTGGGGAAGAGGGTTGCCGGCCCAGAGAGCCCGCAGTTTCCGGAAGGGGGGCAAAGTGCAGCGCACGCTTGGCCCAAGCAGGGCATTGGTCCGAACCTGATGCCCGCATGGACAGGCCCTTCTGCCACTGTGCAACACGCGCGCTAGTGGCCTGTGTTCTTTTCGAAACCACCCAGGTGACCCATGGCCTGAGCCCTCTTTGGGCCCATGACCTGGGAGGCCTCCAGAGGACTGGCCTCGCTGGGACCTGGCGGGAAGAAGTCCCCGCAACTGCCGCCGTCCAGGTCATCTCCCACCCTCGCCACACCCACTGTCCAGGCAGATCCAGCCGAGACTGCTCCCCTTGGAGCTGTGTGTGTGCTCATGACCTTGACCTCCTCCTACTCATTCCAAACCCGCCTTTCCAAGCAGTGTCTCAGGTCATGTGCCCAGAGGTCAGGTGGGTCAGGAATCCCCAAAGCAGGCTAGGCAGAGGGCGCGTGTCCAGCCACAGGAGGCTTTGTCTGGAGCGGCCCGCGGCCCAGTTTCCTAGGAGTGGGAATCCAGGTTCCTGATTGCGGTCACCCCATTTGGGCTGTGGGCAGATTTCATGTCCTCCTGGGGCCCATGTGGGCACTTGCCACGCTGAGTGGGGCAGAGAGCCTGCAGCTGCAAGGCCGTGGGACCCGGGCCGGCAGTGAGACCCAGAGGACTCTTCTGAACCTCTGGGACGTCTCCTCCCCTGGCAGAAACCGGTGGCAGCAGGAAATGGCTCCTTCTGCCTCCTCTTGGGTGACACCTCCTGCTTTAACCAGCAGCCCGCATGTTTGCTCAGGGCCAGAACTGGGGAGGAGGCCACCACCGCCACGAGAACAGGGACTGAGGCCTGATGGCTCATGGCGCCATCTCTACCCACCCGCTCACAGCTGCCAAGGGCTGCCAGCCTGGCACTCTGACCTCTCTCTCCTCCATGTTTGTGCCACCCCTTGCAAAGTAAGCACAGCCATGAGGATGGAAAGAGGCAGGTGTGGGCTGGGCAGAGCTGTGTGTGGCCAGTGCCCTGGCCCTCCTGCAGCCTCTCCCCTCACTGGGGAGGCATGAGCACTATGGGCGGTCACCCCTGCTATGAGCCTCCCTGGGCACTGCAGAACCCTGACTGGTTGCCCGAGCTCTGCCTACACACATGCGTGAATGGACCTGGCAGTGGGCTGAACTGTGCCAAAAAGCCCTGTCCAAACTGTGGTCCTTAGCACCTGTGAATGTGACCTAATTTGGAAAAAGGGTCTTTGCAGATGTCATCAAGCTAAGAATATTGAGATGACACCAGTCTGGAACAAGGTGGGCCCTAGACCCAGTGATGGGCGTCCTTCGAAGACAAAAGGAGGAGGCCATGGGAGGTGGGAATGACACCCAGGAGGAAGAGGAGGGAAGGAACCTCCCTTAGAGTTTTTGGAGTGTGGCCTTGCCAACACCTTCATTTCAGACTTCTGGTCTCCGGACCGCTGAGAGGGTAAGTGTCCATCCATTTTGTGATTATTTGTTGAAAAGGACACAGTTCTGTGTTACACTCTGTGTGAAATTCTCTCCCAAGACCAGTCTGGCATCCCCTACCCTGACTCTGGCATGTGTAGGCTTTGCAGAAATGCTTTGATCTGAAGACGAGGCTTCTCCACCTGAAGCACGGGGAGACCATGCCCTGCTCCCAGGCCAGTAGGACCGGTCACTGCGGGTCCCCACCTGTCTGTGCTGCAAGGCTGTTGCGTCCAGTCCCATCTGGACAGAGCCTTCCAAGCAGGCCCCTTCTCTGTGCTGGGTCCAGTGACCCTGGCAGACTGGGTGACAATGGCCTCTCCTGGCCTTGGATGCTAGGGAACTCACTCTCTAGAGCAGTGCAGGCCAGGAGAGCTTCCTGGCACCATGTGCCTGTGCTACCATGTGGGGGCCTCCGGCCAGGGGGTGGGGCTGCTGGGCAGGGATCTAGTCCCTTCATGGCAACGTTAGCCATGTACGCAGTGGTGGCCCTGGCAGCCAGGGGTGCCTCAGCAGGTGCCAAACCACGAGCTGCCAGTTGTCCCCAGAGCACCTGACCCCATGAGCCTCGGGAGGGTCTAGGAACATGCCTTGCTAACAGTTCTGGGGAAGGGGCAGGAACCCCACTTTGGGAACCACTGCTCCAGTGCTGGCCCTGCTCCTGACTTCTGCTTTCCTTGTAGCTTTTGCTGGGGGGGTGGGCTGTAAATCACAGCATGTAACTCCTGCCTCAGGCTCTGCATCCAGAACCCGACCCATGATACAGCCTAACCTGGAGCCCACTCTCTTGCCCCCAAAGGCCCACTGTCCCTTCCCATGATGACTTCTGGGATGTGTCCTGTCCTTTCCTAGAGGCGAGGAGGTGAGGCCAAGGAACATGCTTACCTTTATCGGCTGCTGGGGCAAAGAGCTTCTCGGAGCCCACAGATGCCTGGAAGACAGAGAGGAGGGTCAGAAACAGAGGGGATGAAGGGCCTGGGGGTGAACTTGGCTCTTACCCTGCCCCCAGGACACAGGTCTGGGCAGGTTTTGTGCATGTGAGGTCTGCCCGGCCTGGCAGAACGTGTCCTCCTGTGTCCACAGCTGCCACCCAGAGGGTGACCATGCCCAGGCCTGGTGCAAGCACGTGGGCACACAGGTCACTCAACCCAAGATCCAGGACTTGAGGATGCTCAGCAGAGACGTGGGGGTTCAGTGTGGCCCTGCCAGTGGGGGGCTGGCACTTGGGAACTCAGGTACGTCTTGGCAGGGCCAGCCCCAGGAACCCGAGGACTCCGCTGGGCCTGGTGCCGGAGGATGGAGCAGAGCTTGGAACTGAACAGGCTGCAGGATAGCACCCACCACACTTTGCTCCAAGTCACAGGTCTGGGGAACCACGGCTGTGACAAAGCACTGAGTGTCCAGAGCAGAGCATCCTGCTCCAAGTGGTTTCTGATGGACCTCACCTCTCAGCCTCTCTCCTGGGGGGATGCCCACATGCACGTAAGATGGTGCGATGTCAGGGTGAGGACGTGGCCCTGCGTGGAGGACTCTGCCACAGCTCACAGGAAGGAGCTCCATAAGACTGCCCTTCTTGCTAGTTGATTTTTTTAAAGATTTTATTTTTAAGTAATCTCTACAGCCAACGTAGGGCTCGAACTCACAACCCCGAGATCAAGAGTCGTACGCTCCACCAACCAAGCCAACCAGGCACCCCACTAGTTGACTTTTTTAAAAACAGCTTCACTGAGCTATAATTCACATGCCATACAATTCACCTGTCAAAGGTGTACAATTCAGTGGTTTTAGTGTCTTTGCAGCTGTGAGCAACTGTCACCTCAGTCAGGCTTAGGACATTTTCATCACCCCAAAATGAAACTGTGAGTTCTTCAGCCATCGCCCCAGCCCTCACATCCCCTGGCCCCAGGACCACTGCCTCTCATGTGTGCAGAGGCCCTATGCTGGACTTCCTGGTGGAAAGCGGTCAGTGGTTGCTGCTGGGCGGGGGGGGTTGGGGAACGACCGGGCACCAAAGAGCATGGGGGCTCAGCCTGTGAGGACGGCCACTATCAAAGCCAGACAGCAGCAGGTGCTGGCTAGGATGCAGAGAAGCTGGGACTCTCGAGCACTGTTGGCAGGAAGGTAAAAGGTGCAGCCGCTGTGGACAACGGTCCAGAAGGTCCTCACAAGGTTGAACGTGGAAACACGTGATATAGCAATCCCACTCCTGGATACATACTCCCCAAAACTGAAAGCAGAGTCCCCAACAAATATTTGTATGCTAATAGGCACAGAAGTATTATTTACAGTAGCCAAGAAGTGGGAGTGGCCAAGTGTCCATCAGCAAGTGTATGGAGAAACTAAATGGTCCATACGTGCAATGGATACCACTCAGCCTTAAAAAGAAGTCCTGACACCTGCTACTATCTGGATGGACCTTGAGGACACGGTGCTGAGAGAAAGAGGCCAGAACCAGAAGGACAAACACTGGAGGATCCCACTTATCTGAGGACTCAGATTCATACAGAGTAGAAGTGGCACCAGGGGCTGGGACGGGGGAGCCAGGGTTTAGTAGGGACAGTGCCGGTTTTCTAGGTGGAGTCCGGGGGTGGACGGAGGTGGATAGAGGCGGCGGCGGCGGCTGCAAAACAGTGTGAATTTGCTTAATGCTTGTTCACTGTGTGCTTAGAAATGGTTAAGATGGTAAGTTTTGTTATGTGTATCTTACCATGATAAATACAAAATTAAGAGAAAATATGAGGGAGCTTTCTGGGGTGATGAAAGCGTTCTCTATCTGACGGTGGCGGCGGAAATGTAGTCGTATGCATCTGACCTCTTCTCTCCCAAGTTTGTTTCTGGTACATTCTACATGGTGAGTAGTGGCTGTCAGAGTCCCTGGATTATCACCTCACCCCTAGGAGTCCCCATGGGGTGTCCACCTGAGCTGGGGGTCTGCAGGGGCTGGGGGGGCAGGCTGTCAGCCCTGGTGGGGGAGGGGGGCGCTGCAGCCCAGCGTCTGGCTCCAGACATGGCCAGCAGCGCCTGTCCCCGTCTGCCCCTCAGGGCCAGGCCCCTGGTCTGTTTGTCTGCAAAGTGACCAAGAGGACAGCTCACGCGAGTTTGCTCTATGGCAGTCACGGCCCCAGATCTGCCAGGAGTGATGACCACTGCACCCCCACGCTGTACCCCTGCCTGATGGCACAGGGGTCACCCACCCTCCCAGGGCCCATCCAGAGACCCCAGGACCACACGGCAGTGCCCGAGTGACAGCTCTGTTGTTCTCGTTACCTGGGCTCGTTAACATGCCCACAGATGAATTCTCCACAAAGCCAAGAGTCTCTTTTAAATCCAAATCAGAACAGGTCACCCCCCAACTCAAGCACTCCAGTGTCTTCCCAGTGCCCCCAACTGCAATCTGTCCCTGATCCTGCCAGGCTGTGTGAGGCCCACCTCCCCCACAGCCCCCGGCACCAGGGCACGGGTCTGAAAGTCTTTTCTTGCTTGGCTGCCTCTCAGCTGCCCTGGATGTGCGTGGGCACTGCCATCGATGAGAGGAGCTGTTGTGTGCCAGCCGTCTCCTCTGATGAGGCAGCCCCTTAAGGTCTTCGTCATCTGCCGCGCTGACAGGCCCTCTGGGCTAAAGGGACGGTGCTAACTGCGCAAGCAGCCTCGAGGGTCCCCAGCTTAGCGCCACGGCCAGGGGCTCCTTATCTCTCGGCAGAGCACATGAACGAGCTCAAGGCCCCACCACCCCAGCTGCCATTACCATCCAGGAGTCTGGGCTGGGAAAGGGAAGCTGGGGGGGCCCCCAAGCCCCAACCCCATTCGAGCCCCCTGTTCTGACACAGCCATTCCTGTCGGAACAAGGCGGTATCAGAAAGGAACGCGGAGAGGCGGCACTGAGAAAATTCGTGTGTTCTGTGGGGCACGACTCCTCTTGGTCCCAGCCTGGGGGGAAGGGGGAGCAAGTTCACCTAAGGCCATGCTGGTTCAGTTCAAGGCCTGGGGCTTGAGTAGGGGCCAGGAGGTGGCGCCCCAGACACTTGGAAATTCTAGGGGAACAGTGGAGGGGCTGGGGGGGGTGTCTTCCCCACCACTCCCCACCCTGGATGCCAGCCTGGCAAAGGCAGGAGGGAAGGCACTCTCCCAGGTCCATCCAGTCCCCACCACCCCCAGTGCCACGGAGGGCCCAAGTTAAAGTTTGCTTGGGGAAGTTGAAGGACCTGAGTCCCTGCAGGGGTTCTGGGAAGGGACCCGGGCAGGTTCCTGGACCACAGTGAGAGGCCTGGACATCCGGCCAGGTGCAGCCATGCCCACCTGGGAAGGCTCTGAACAGACAGGCAGGCACCCTCAGGCCGCTGCGGGGCCGCGCCCGCGTGCCAGCCCCCTTCCCCGGGCACGAAAAGAGACGCTCCTGCTGGAGCTCGCGCAGCACAGTCCCTCTGCTCCTTCCATTCCACGGGGAGGGGTCTGGAGCTGGCCAGCAGACCCAAGGGGGGTGGGCAGCCCCAGGGCAGCCACCAGACCTGTGCAAATAACTTCCCGAAGACCATCTACTGGGATGTGACCCAGGCAGCCACATCGTCTCTACACCTGGCGCTGAGCCAGCGTGGGGGCGGAAGAAAGGGGTCACTCCGGGCGAAAATACAGGTGGGAGGTGCCCGGGCTGCAGGTTCACGGTCTCGGTGGAGGGGGCACGCCCGGTAGGGAGAGTGTCACGGCCGGCACTAACTCCCCTAGGGTGCACAATCCCGGCGGCGGGCGGAGGTCACAGCGCGCTTTGTCTTCGAGGACCCGACCCGCGGGGCAGCCTCCGCTCAGACACGCGGCACAGCCTCCGCCGGCCGCGCCCCGCCCCAGACAAAGAACTCTAACTCCGGGCAGGTGAGCGCGGAGGGCGCCGGGAACCGCGGTGGCCGAGCCCCCGCCGGGGCGCAGACAAAAGCGCGCGTCCCCCACGACGCCCGGCCCCGCCTCCGCCAAGGGCCCCCCCAGTGCCCTGGCCAAGGCCCGGGACCCTCTGCAGGGATGCACCCCCGCCCGCCGGCCGCCACGTGGGCCACGGGGGCGCAGCCGGGGAGACACGGGGTCTCCGCGCGCCTGGCTCCCGGGAGAGACGGGGTGGGCAGAGCGCCGGGGGCCTCTCCTGAGCCCCGCTCCTCTGGAGGGGGCGGTTGCTCTCGTCCCCGGCCCCCGAAGTCCCGAATCCCTCCCCGGAGCCACCAGCGCGCACTCACCGCGCGGGCGCCCCGGGTGTGACGGGCTCTGCAGGCAATTGCCGCTAGTCCTCGGGCCGGGGCCGGAGCCGGAGCCGGGCGGCATGGACGCGGGCGGCGGAGCGCGGGCCCCCGCCACCTTTGCCCGTCGAGGTGGCCCCTCTCCCCG